GAGAAATAAAAAGCGATACTTATCCTTTGCTGGTATCCCTGCCCGGTGGAGTCGATGGTCTTTACACTCTTCGGTCTTCCCACGAGGAGGCCGTCACGCGACGGCTGTCGCGGTAAACTAAGCTTTTTTTATACCCGTCTAACAAAATACTAAATTAATTCAGCTGGACACACTTTCCTTATTTTTTTCCACAACAAATGGCCAAGCCAGCGTAGACACTGACAAGATACGCGATACAGAACGAGACCAAACGCGATATCAGCACGTCTCCACACAGTTAACAAAACAAGCGTTTCCTAGCAACGACAACAGCACTAAACACTAATGAGACAAGTAAATACACTTACGAACTGCTTTTAACTTTCGCTGATAAAGACTGCTTCTCTCAAAGAGTATTTCTTTACACTGTTTTCTGCTGGCACTTGAACACACTTTCCTTATTTTTTTCCACAACAAATGGCCAAGCCAGCGTAGACACTGACAAGATACGCGATACAGAACGAGACCAAACGCGATATCAGCACGTCTCCACACAGTTAACAAAACAAGCGTTTCCTAGCAACGACAACAGCACTAAACACTAATGAGACAAGTAAATACACTTACGAACTGCTTTTAACTTTCGCTGATAAAGACTGCTTCTCTCAAAGAGTATTTCTTTACACTGTTTTCTGCTGGCACTTGAACACACTTTCCTTATTTTGTTCCCACAACAAATGGCCAAGCAAGTGCAGACACTGACAAGATACGCGAATATCTATATACACTGAATATGCAAACAAGCCAAGTCATAAAGTCAACTTAATTTTTAAAGCACTCTATACAATCTCAATCTAACAAGTCAATAGTGTCATTATACAGCTCAGGTCGGGTCAATATTGATTCAGTTCAGTTGTATAACTGTGTAAAATACATCAGTTGTATATACATACTGTATACAGTGTTTATGTGCATATGTATGTATGTGCGAGTGCTTTGACAAACTCCTGTGCACTCCACTGCACTCTGAACAAGCAAAAGACACACGAGAGTAGTGTTTTACATTTTTCACATCAGTGTGTAGTTTGGCTTGTACGTGACTAATTATTTTATGTTTGTGTGTGCAGTTATTATGCAAAAATAAAATTTTTAGAAGAGTTAAAATAGTTCTGAATGAAGTGTTTGCTTTTGCAAGATATGTGTGATGTTTTGCATGTTGTTTGTGTGTTTTGTGATTTTGTGTGTAGAGTTTTGAGAAATGGAGCCATGTGTAAGTATTTTTTAAAAGGGGTCACATGATGCGATTTCAATTTTTCCTTTCTCTTTGAAGTGATACAAGCTCTTGGTGCATAAAGAAGATCTGTAAAGTTGCAAAGACTAAAGTCTCAAATCCAAAGAGATATTCTTTATAAAAGTTGAGAGTCAACCACGCCTACCTAAAACGGTTCGTTCGAACACGCCCCCACATATCTACATCACGATGTGGGAAGATTTGCATAACGCCGCCCAAATGTTCACGCAAAGAAAGAAGGCGTAACTTTTATTCTCGCTGTAGTATTGTTGCTGCCGCCATGTCGTGAAGACGCTGTGTGTTTAGTTGTGAAACCGAAACTACTTTGTTTGGCCTTCCAAAAGAGGACGATATCCACTACGTCATGCCTGGAGCTGATCCGTGCTGGTCGCTGAGGAAATACATCAACTTCGCGCTGTGGATCACCGGATCGGCTTTCACCGTGGACGAAGCGGAGTCAAGCCCAGGGTTGTCACATGTGGTTGCTGCAAGCCCGCCGGATGCTCCTTCGTCGAATCCACCGGCCACGCCGTTCTCAAGTCCGCCGGCCTCCGCTCACTCTAGGCCTCCGGCCGCCGCTCACTCAAGGCGGTGTGGGACGCTGTGTGTTTCGTTGTGAAAGCGAAACTACTTTGTTTAGCCTTCCAAAAGAGGACACGAGGCCTGGACTTTTTTTTGTTGTTGTTATATTATGTTTTAATGCGGCAGTCGTCCGTGAGGGGCTGCCGCTTTTACTTTTGTTTTGTGTTTGTTCATTTGTTTATTAAAGTTAAAGTTAAATGTTCGCCGGTTCCCGCCAACTTTGTTACAGACCCATTTAAACAAGGAAACGCACAACCTTTAAGGCATCACAGAAGCAGATAAAATGAGAGGAGTGTCTTACTGGTTCTCCAGGTGGGCCGCGTGGACCATCTTTCCCTGTGTTTCCTGGAGGTCCTCTTGCACCGGGTGCTCCAGGAGGGCCTGGAGGTCCAGGTGGGCCAGCTTGTCCTTGATCACCCTGATGAAAACATACAGACATGTGATATAAAATTAATTCCTCAAGTAAGTCACAGCAAAACATAAGCACAAATAACATTCTCTTGAAGTATTTATTTTGTTTCATTATTTTATTTTCATTTCATTGTTTTATTTGGAAAAGTGAATGGAAGATGATGTTTTAAGATTCATTATCACAACTTCTTTATTGTATATAAGTCATTTGCCTTTTGTGAATAATAATAATAATAATACATTAATACAAAATAATAATAATTATGCCTCTAGCACTGTAAAAAATGATTTTTCAAAGTTGTAAATCAAACAGATTAATGGAGTGTTTTACAAGAAAGTATTTCTGTCTATTACAAAATGTATTTGTTACTTGCTTTCAGTGTATAATTACAATTTTTGTCACTACAAGGTTTCCTTATACATCTAATGGAGTGAATCTTGTTAAAAAATGTTATACAATATTTTCAGGATCATTATTTTTGTTTAATTTTTACATTGTGACATTATTATTATTATTTTGTATTACATTTCTTAATCCAAAATAAATGTATTTTATAATATATATAATATATATATATATATATATATATATATATATAATGTGGTAAAAAATGACCCAGATATTTTTTTGTGAGATTTGCCCTGCATCAGCCTCATTCACTGAAGCAGCAAACTTGCATGCAATGCTCTGATCCTTCACACATGGATGAGCTTATTTGATTGTAAGTATAAGACACACAAACAATAACACAAGCAATCATGCAAAATGACATGGGTTAAAATCGAGGAAGATGAAGATCTAGTAAGGTGAGTGTCTGCACATGCCTTGCACACATGCTACCTTCAGCATACGCCTCTGGAAAGTGGGCTGATCGGCCGAGATGTAGCTGTGATCATAACGAGGAAAGACCATCTGTGCATTTGAGTCCCCAATACAAAGAGACAGGAAATCCCCGGAAAAACAGATGGAGGAGGAAAAGACAAAGGAGAAACAATAAGTGCATTGAAAACTTCAGATTGAGGGATAGTGAGGAAACTGAGCAAGATCTCAGGGGCCATGAAGGGAGATGGCCTTCCCGGACATGGAGCAGCTTGGAGATGAAGGCTATGGCAGCAGAGAAGAGACCAACCTTAATGAGAATCTGATTACTATGCAGCCCTGCATGAGTGCCATGACCCTGCGAGAGGAACAGGATGGACAGAGGAGCAGAGATACACAGACCAGTCATCAAAAAAGCATTGACAGAGCATTTCGCTGCCACTGGATTGTGAAATATCAAACACAGTAGAGCACCTTGCAGGAATTTGGTTGATTTAGCTTTAGTTCAAGATATACCCTTCTAATGACAGACATATATATAACAGCAATTATTTTTGACTATTTTGAAATAAAAGCAACGAAATGCTGCATCTCAAAATTGACCAACATCCTTGTCAATGCACACTACTTTTCAAAAGTATTTTTTATTTAGATTTATTATAGGAAAAGACAAAGGAGAAACAATAAGTGCATTGAAAACTTCAGATTGAGGGATAGTGAGGAAACTGAGCAAGATCTCAGGGGCCATGAAGGGAGATGGCCTTCCCGGACATGGAGCAGCTTGGAGATGAAGGCTATGGCAGCAGAGAAGAGACCAACCTTAATGAGAATCTGATTACTATGCAGCCCTGCATGAGTGCCATGACCCTGCGAGAGGAACAGGATGGACAGAGGAGCAGAGATACACAGACCAGTCATCAAAAAAGCATTGACAGAGCATTTCGCTGCCACTGGATTGTGAAATATCAAACACAGTAGAGCACCTTGCAGGAATTTGGTTGATTTAGCTTTAGTTCAAGATATACCCTTCTAATGACAGACATATATATAACAGCAATTATTTTTGACTATTTTGAAATAAAAGCAACGAAATGCTGCATCTCAAAATTGACCAACATCCTTGTCAATGCACACTACCTTTCAAAAGTTTGGGGTCAGTGGATTTATTTATTTTTTTAAGAAATTAGGAAATTTTTCTTGATCATCAAATCCGCATATGAAGGATTTCTGAAGGATCATGTGACACTGAAGACTGGAGTAATGATGCTGAAAATTCAGCTTTGCATCACAGAAATAAATGACATTTTAAAATATATTAATTTATTTTAAAAACACAGTATTACTGTATTTATTGTATTTCTGATCAAATAAATATAGACATCTTTCAAAGACACTTAAAAAATCTTACTGACCCCAAACTTTTAAATGATGGTATGTACATTTTATGTCATTTTAATTCACTTTAATATTTTTTTCCCATGATTTTGTAAAAAAAAAACTGTAAAATAAGTATTTATTTAAATTAAGCAATTGTTATTTGCTGTCATTATAATATATATGATATGATATGATATAATAATTAAAACATTATGAATAATATCCCATTTGCTTATACAGTATATAGTATACATTCAATATATATTGTTGAGTTCTCATTGGATATGACTGGATCGGTTATTCAAACTCATGCCATGTCATGAAAATTAAAAACAACACTTTCAATTTTGACTTGCTCTAAATACAGACAACGTGTCTGCACTGCATAAATAGAACTGTGATTCAAATACAACATGACCAAATAATGTAAAATTGTTGGTCTTGCCACCCTGAAATAACACTGGACAAAAACCCTGGTTTTATTTTTGTTGTCTTAAATCACATTGGTCTGAAAAACATATTTATGTTCACTTGTCTCTGCAAACCACAATCTGAGGGCTGGATTGTGCTGACAGCAGTAACAGAGAGCTGCTCGAGAAGCACAGAGAAATGTCACATGCCTGCTGCAAAAGATTTTAAATAAGGTTGTGCCGTCCAGGTAAGGAAGGATGTCACTTTTTTCTCTCTTTGAACTTGAGAAACTGACAAAAATTGAAAAGTGTAAGGATTATTTTATAGCTTTTCACTGTCGTGTTTTTTTTTTTTAAACCTGGCAAAGCTTTGAAAGTTAAAAAGCTAATCAAAGTTAGCTTCAAAACATCGGAGAACTAAAGCCTTGCAACAGAGAAAGAGAAAAAAAGAGCAAAACAGAGAGCAAGTAAGAGTGACACAGCATGTAGATGCCAGCGTGAGGGTTGAGTTAGCAGGGATGTGGTGACCTGAGGTATGCTTGAGGTTTCCCACACTGCTGCTTTACTCAGCACTACACACACGCTCAGCTAACTAAGCTTCCCATAGACTTCTATTGTTCTTACATTATATAGATTACGCTAATTATATTTTCAGCAGACTAACCCCAACCCTAAAATAAAACTTGTGGCATTTCTAAAAGAAAATAAAGACATCATTTACTTTCTATTTTTCCTTTTGAGAGCTTCCCCACAGGGAGGTTTGTTAGGATTTAGCTGGCCTGTAGACATTTTTCATTTTTGTGCTCTGAAACATGCAATCAACACACATGCACAGATACACACAGAGCACACTCCTTAATGAATCAAAATAGATTCAAAATAGATAACTCCCATGATTGTTTCTTTTAAACATACAAGAGGAGCAGGAATATGTATCAGAGCACTGTTCAAGTCATTTCAAAAAGTAAAATTTTATATGATTATGTTTGAATGTATGTGTGTGTATGTATAAACCATTTTTATTTATATAAATTATAGTGCTTAATTTAAATAAATACTTATTTTACAGTGTATAAAAAAAATGAATGTTGACACAAATGTTGGTAAATTGACAAAAATATTGGTGAATTTCGGAACACATGTAGGCAAAATGAACACTTCTTTGTTTAATGATAATAATTTCAAAATAGCCAAATATTGACCAAATAATCCTATGTTTGGATTGGGGCCACTACTGCCGCACGTGGGTGTGGTCACTCTAAAGAAATTACCCAACCCAATAAAAAAATTCGATATTTTCTTCCCATATCTACTTTAGATGCCCATCTCGCATATCTGCACATTCATGTATTGCCACTTCTTTGAATGTGTGTGAGAAAAATAATTAAGAAAGATCAAGACAATAATAGAAAGAGTGAATTCAGCCCTCTGGCACATACAGTTCAGCATTTCAATTCTGATTTATGATGTATCTTCATAAATGTGATTAATATCTAGTCAGGTATCACCCTCATTATTCTGAGGCACATTTGACATTCTGTTCCTCTGACTGTAAGGGAAAATATTAATATAAAATAAATGTATTAAAAGTGACAGAAGTATGCGTGTACTGACCCTTGGCCCTGTGTCTCCTTGATCACCCTACAACACAAAAAGACAAGAAATACAATTAGCAACACGCAAACTACAGTAAATACTAGATTTCTTGATATTCTGAAGAGAATTTGAGTGGTTCGTGACTGTGTGTGGATGATTGCTGAGGTGCCTATGTGGTGGTTTGCAATTTGTCCGTCCACACCGAAGGTGAAAATGTTGTTGTAAGTGAGATGTATGAAATATTACTTGATGATACTTTTCTTACACACTGCTTTTGTTTTACATCTAACAGAAAGCTTCCTGACCCCCTAACAAGAAGAGTTAGCTCATTTAATCAGCCTCAGTCATAATTTAACCTTTATCTTATAACAAGAGAGCATATAAATGAAATCAGGGCAGAGACTCTGTTTACTAATTACTATAAATGAGGAACACTAATCTGGGAGAAAAAGCATCCTGAGGCTCCATGTTTTTGTTTTATTGTGCATATATATTTTTTTCACTGCAACCAGGAAAAGACTTCAAGACGGTCTTCATTTAACACAGGTTTCTTGTTTCTCTAATTTTATGCCTGACACGGTTTACATCCCCTCCAAAACATGTGTTTGAAGACAAAAGCCAATGCAAATGAAATTTGTGAGTTGTTTTAGAAATTGGAAAACATCTGCTTGCTGAACGAAGCATCCTGTGTGTGTGTGTGTGTGTGTGTGTTGTACGATATTGACGAAAAAAAGATACTAAATGTACCTTATCTCCTTTTGGTCCTGGCAACCCCTGGAAATAAATGAGTTGGGTGTGATGATTAGACAGATTGTCCAAGATGAAAAATTTACATGACTAAAGCCTAAGGGAAAATACAGCATAGTTCAAAAACATACCATGTGAACCATAAGTCATTCACTAAGAGTCTTTAGCATCTCAGTATCCTCTAACTTTCACGTGCATCTCATCTTCAAAGTTTTTTTCTAAGTCATCTTTTTCCCAACTAAAAGCTTAGTACGATATTGACGAAAAAAAGATACTAAATGTACCTTATCTCCTTTTGGTCCTGGCAACCCCTGGAAATAAATGAGTTGGGTGTGATGATTAGACAGATTGTCCAAGATGAAAAATTTACATGACTAAAGTCTAAGGGAAAATACAGCATAGTTCAAAAACATACCATGTGAACCATAAGTCATTCACTAAGAGTCTTTAGCATCTCAGTATCCTCTAACTTTCACGTGCATCTCAAGTTTTTTTCTAAGTCATCTTTTTCCCAACTAAAAGCTTCGGCTGCACCTCACATCTGCACTAGATATAGCTGTAATCTTTGATCTTAAAAGTCATTTGCAAATAACATGGTCAAAAGTCTGGGAATATGATGAATGCACAACTGACTGAACATAAAGAAAATGGTTGGAGTGAAACTATGTGAGTGGAAATGATAGGGAAGAGAGTCTATGGCAACCTTCATACCACAAGACAACTGCCAAATTCACATTTTCTGCACAAATCTGATATTTTTATGAGCTTGTTCACATGACCTTCTCACTGTGACCCATTTCAGACACTGGTCTGAACAGACGAGGCTTCGAAACTGATCTACATATGTAAAACACATTGCTTTGAAAAATAGAGGCAATGCTAGTGAAGCTGATGCAAGGTGCATGTTGAATAATTATGAGGGTGAGGAGGTGAAAAAGGGAGAAATTGCAATAATGATGTAAAGAACTTGAGTGCTGTAAAAACAAACTCAAATTAAAACATTTTATTTTTTAATCAATAGCGGTTTTAACTGAAAACTGTCAGTAAACTGTAAACTGTAAATGTGTTTGTCACATTGCAAAAGTGCATTACCATAATTTAATTCCACATATGAAAGTAGCAAAGGCTGGCATTAAAAATGTCAGAGTCAGTGTGATTCTTGCTGTTCACACTGTCATCTAAACAACATCTGTGTCACATGTGAATTAAATCAGATTCAACCGTGGTGCAACAACAAACTCTTACTCATTTTAGATAGAGAATATTCTATGATGCACATCAGTTATATGCATCACAACATTATCAGCCTGAATGAGACCTACTGTATGACCACCTTAGACTTTCTTTCATGCGAGTCAAAACAAAACAACTGTCTTTCACAGGAAGCCACAGGCGAATGGCGCTTTGAGGTGGTCTGCTTTCCAGAAGAAGTGGTTTACGTTACATTGGACAAATGGCTTTCCTTTGACAGCGCTAAAGAACGTGACAGGGTTCCTAAACGACCGCCTATCTGCAACAGCACAAGCTAACAATGATGAATTCTCTCCTTTTGGTGTATAATCCATTATTTCCATCTCATTTGCGGATAGACATACAAGGTAAAATACACTTTGTGGTGTGTGACCCTATATCTGAGGTGATAGATGGCTTGAAAACTTAAATAGGAGTTGAATCCCCCTGATGCCATGCAAAAATAAAACCATAATTCCTCATGTACACAGTATGAGCGAACAGCTTGCAGATTTGTGTTTAACTTCCATAAACCTACTGTATGAAGTAGCACTTATTTGTCTACAATATAATACAATAACCTTCAGGGCACAGTAGAAATTTGAAATTGTATTTACCTGGCTTCCTTTAGGTCCAGGGTTACCCTGCAAATAAACAAATCAATTATTAAATTTCTAGCCAAAAAGAGCTTAAAAGAGCCCACCTCTAAATCTCTATGACATTGTGGTCTCTAATTATGGTTCAGGTCCCTCTTTCAATGCATGTCTGTAATTTGTTCAACTGTTTTAACATCCGCAAGTCAAACGGATGCTTAGAAAAGTTACACAATTGAGGCATCATTTATATTCGCAACATAAACACAGATTTACATGGCAGATTTTGTCACTGGTGTGGTACCATAAGGTACAACGTCTAAAAGACACATCTTTGTACCTTGTTTACCCCTAAATGGTACATATTAGTGCCTTAAAGTATATATTATTACCTAAAATGTACATATTAGCATCTTTTGAAAGGGTACCATCTCAGTTACAGTTGTGTAACTTTTTTCTGACAGTGTAATGGTTAGTGTTTATGAGCAATAATAATAAAAAATAATGTATGTAATTAAATGAAAGAAGCATCAACTTTGTGGCTGTTTCAGTTACAAGCTTCTTCCAAAGTGACTTAAATCATTTGAAAGCCAAATGTCATTCATAAATTCACAAACTACCTTGGAAAGGCAGATTAAGTAATTAAATGTCCAGTAATGTGAGAATCCAAAACCTGTTTTCCAAACACACACATCTTTGTACCTTGTTTACCCCTAAATGGTACATATTAGTGCCTTAAAGTATATATTATTACCTAAAATGTACATATTAGCATCTTTTGAAAGGGTACCATCTCAGTTACAGTTGTGTACCTTTTTTCTGACAGTGTAATGGTTAGTGTTTATGAGCAATAATAATAAAAAATAATGTATGTAATTAAATGAAAGAAGCATCAACTTTGTGGCTGTTTCAGTTACAAGCTTCTTCCAAAGTGACTTAAATCATTTGAAAGCCAAATGTCATTCATAAATTCACAAACTACCTTGGAAAGGCAGATTAAGTAATTAAATGTCCAGTAATGTGAGAATCCAAAACCTGTTTTCCAAACACACACACACACACACACAGATTCTCATCTTGTCTCTTTAAAGCTCAGGAATACTCACAGGTTTGCCATCCAGACCAAGTGGACCCTGAACAGTGGAAAAAGAGAAAAACAGACGATTAAACCCCAGGAGTCCACCAGACAGCTGGTCATAAAAAGGGAAAGTGCAGATAGACTCTGAAGGGAAGTGTGAGGGGTAAATCAAAACATTTCTAAGAGAAACATAGAATTAAATCAAAATGATCATGTTGGGCCATGATGTCATTCCTCTATTTTTAGGATGAGGACTGGAGTCAGACCCGTTTCTTTTGACTTACAACCAGGAGTCCACCAGACAGCTGGTCATAAAAAGGGAAAGTGCAGATAGACTCTGAAGGGAAGTGTGAGGGGTAAATCAAAAGATAAAGATCAGGAGAGAAACATAGAATTAAATCAAAATGATCATGTTGGGCCATGATGTCATTCCTCTATTTTTAGGATGAGGACTGGAGTCAGACCCGTTTCTTTTGACTTACAATATAAAATCTTGTTATTGCAGCCAAAATTTAAAGATTAGACTTACAGACTTAGTAAAGATTCAAATGCAAGGGTAATCAATGATCTAGAAAAATAGTTGGGCATTGTAATAGCCTTGGATTTTTCATGTGTTTTATCTGTTATACTAATCAGATATGCACATTATACATATGGCTATAAATAAAAGACAATCTAATAAATAATTGTCAGAAGTCATTTCAATATTTAACAAATAAAATCCATCGTAGTCCATTTATAGTGTTTTAAAATTTGTTTTAGTCAGACCAGGAAATTAAAAGCTGTGCAGCTGTCAAAAATAGAAAGGATGTGCCAAATTGGCAGTATAAAATAAGTTATTATTACTTTTATTTTGCAGAAAGCTCCATAGACTGTGTGGGACTGTAATGGGAGCAACCTAGTGTCCAGTATAGACACTCATCTGAGTAGTTGTGAAAAAGGTGACCTTACAGGATTTATTTTTGTTCTGATGTCAGAGGTGAGAAATCTGATTTAAAAGTGTCATGAAGCACCTAGACTTATTCTAAAAGTAGCAGTGTCAGATAAATCACATACTTTTGAATGAATTGTGGGAGGTCATCAAAACGCCAGAGACCTTTGAACTTTGAAACATATATCTGTACAATTTCTGTCCCTTTTTTAGCTGTCTCAAAAGCTTGTGGCAATCCCACATCAAAAATGTACCCTCAGTTTATTCTTTTTTTTGTGTGTGTTAGGGTGGAAAAAGGGGGAAACATGATATCACACATGCATAAACAAAGTTTTGGAAACAGAGAGAGGAACATAGGCCTTGCTGCAACATGCAAGTTGGTCACTCAGACTTGTCATAACAAATGCATGGGAGGTCATCAAAACGCCAGAGACCTTTGAACTTTGAAACATATATCTGTACAATTTCTGTCCCTTTTTTAGCTGTCTCAAAAGCTTGTGGCAATCCCACATCAAAAATGTACCCTCAGTTTATTCTTTTTTTGTGTGTGTTAGGGTGGAAAAAGGGGGAAACATGATATCACACATGCATAAACAAAGTTTTGGAAACAGAGAGAGGAACATAGGCCTTGCTGCAACATGCAAGTTGGTCACTCAGACTTGTCATAACAAATGCATTTAAATAAAAATAAATAAATAAAAAAAACACACACAATCCTGATAAAAGGTGTCATGGCCCCCCAAGACCAATGTGTAGTTGGATGGTTGATCGAGCTCCAGAAGATTAAAAAGTTGGTGGCTTTGAAATCATTTTGACAGTTAAAGATTAAAAAAGGGCTGGAACAAAGAATCCTAAACCCTACAAAGAACCATTTTAGCATAAACGGGTTCTTCGGAACAATGTGATTCTAAATAGAACAATGTGTAAAGAACCTTCAAAGAACCATGTTTTTTTTAAGAGTGTAGAGTCAAATTGGACTCAAATTGGACTACTGCTTTTACTGCAGGGAGGAAAGGAAAGTAGCAATTAGAAAAGATTGAGAGACTATACAGATAAGAGAAGCGTGCAGCACAGCCTAAAACCAGCAACATCCTCTCTATCTGTAAAACCCAGAACATTGATTTTAAAATCTCCCTCTCAATCTGATTGGTGTAGAGCCACAGGTAAGCCTAAAATAATATAGTTTGATCAGCTCTCTAGTCACTCAAACACTCATGATTTGCTGCTAGTACTCACAATGATCTACAATCACAGAAAACAAATTACATTTTAATATTTTGGATTAGAGGTTTGTTAACAACTAACACTAAGCATGAGCAACGGTGATAGTGATGCATACATTAGCAAAGAACACTAATAATTAGTTCAAAGTGTTAAAAAACCATCTACTCCATTTCACCACAACTTCATGTAAAAAAATGATTTTTCTAAATAAATAAAACACAGGTTATTGCAGTACATTTGACAAGAAAACACAATTTCAGTCTTTCTACTTCAAAATTTCATGCGTTACTTAATGTTCTTTGTAACTGTAAAATTATGATTAAAAATTATTTCAGAGTAAATCCTAAACCCATTTTTTTTAAAGTAGCTTTTCTTACTAAAGTTTGTATTTTAAACGTGCATTAATCAGAAACTGTACTGTATTTCCTGCATGTCATTCTTTGAAAATAATTCAAAATAAATGGCATTCAGAGTTCACCAAATGAAAAATTGGTGCTCACGTGTTTGCGTGCGTATAAAATGAACACAAGGCCTAGTGTGACAGGCCCTTCAAACTTCAATGAAGTGTCTGTACCCAAAAGTAAGGGAACATCCAGGGCTAAAATAACGGATGCTAAGCTTCTGCCTTTGAATAAACAGACAAAAGATGTACGAGTCCATTGTGGACAATAAACAATCCCTGATTTTAAGCATTCCCAGAGGTATGTTAAGGACGTGCTAGAAGCTCTAATCATACATCTGGGAGCGTTTACATGGCTTGCTCTCTGCAGTGTCTCCTCATGCTGAGCAGACACCATGTGCACAGGTCAATGCCAGCGGACTTCCTGCAAGAGAAATTAATGAATCAGCTAAGACATTTAACTCTGATTTATGACCATAGTACTCAGGGTCTGAGTCCCTTTAAGCTCATCATTGTGAGGAGGAGATCGGTCTTCCCACTGGTCACTATTGCTGGGTCTCAATCTGTTGACCCTCAGGGCCAAAGACTCTTACATTTGTAATTGAATACTCCATCAAAATTATTGGGGTGTTAAAGGTTTTCTTCCTCAGAAATCCCAGAAACACTACCAAAAAAGAAGCCACTCTTGAATTTTCATGGACAAACATCACTCACATTATGATCCAAGAATGAATCCTTCAAATTTCCAAACGTCCTGCTATCTGCCTCGCACCTGAAGGTCCATATGGATACCACACATGAACTAACATAACTCAATTTATGACCCCCTGAAGAGTGAAGGTAAGCATGAAAAAATAAAATCAATCTGTTATTCCTAAACCTGCTTTTCATTCCTCTCCTGCAACATATTGGCTGGCCAAGTACAAAACCTCCAAGAAAAAACCTCTTACAAAACAATTAAAAGAAGATTAATCCTGGATATTTTATTTTGCACTGCTGAATTCCAAGGAGGAACAGCAGGAAAACATTCCAAAGTAGCACAGATTTACCACATTTATTTAACCACAAAGTGCAAAGGACTGAGAAAGAGGATTCAGATTACCAGTAAAGCCTCGAGAAAATGAAATAATGACTTTTCTGTCTGCTGCCCTTTGCCAGTGTTAAAGTTTTTCAACTTTGCTATAAATTGTAAATTCATCACAGGGTAATCGAAACGCTTTGAGTTCAGGCCTACAAAAGCATTCCTGCTAAAACTGGACTTTGTGGTGGGCTCAATGGTGCTTTGTGGGAAATCTGGAGGGATTGTATCGATAGGCCCTTTGAGTCAAATCAAGACTTAAATGTTTTAATCAAAAGAATCTTTCACAGGTTTTGACTGCATTCACCTACTTAAGAGATTGTGTTTGGGTTGGACAGTATAGAAATGTCCCATCTTTCATTGCCAATATCTGGTTTTAAGCCCTTAAATGCACTGCAACTTTTCCAGTAAAAATATCTAAACGTGATTTACTTGAAGAACATTGCACAAGACATTAAGACTTGTTTTCAGAGAATATATATCAAACTCAATTTGATTAAAGATTTTTCTTATCCCACTTGCAAATTGTTGCAAAAAATTGAATCACAAACTCCATAAACCTACATTTTAGACGAACAAGACAAAAGTACTCAGCATCTATTTTGTAAAAAAATTATTTTGTACAGATCTTATTGTGAACAATTAATCCATGTATGTGTTTCATTTTTACTTTTTTTGACCTCATTATGTTTAATTAAAATATAACTCGATCTTCCAGTGAAACCCTGCATCTTAACAATCGATAACAAGCGACAACAACACCCACATCTCAAAAGTCCCTGTCCGTACATTTTTGATCATCCAATACTGTAAGATGTACATCACAAAACTTAAAGAAATTACGTGTTGCTAATTGAATGTCACAGTGTTATATCGTAACAGAGAAAGAATTTAACCACTTGAAACTTAATAGAATTTGTGATAGCAGGCACGATGTGTAATATATATATATATATATATATATATATATATATATATATATATATATACTGTATATATATATATACAGTGGGTACGGAAAGTATCGTACCCACTGTATATATATATATATATATATATATATATATATATATTAATTTTTTCATGGATTAGGCAAATGTAAAAAAAAATTATATTCATTGGAATATGAATTCATCAATGATTCATTCCATTTTTTTAATTAAAAAAGAGATTAGGCCAATCATATAAGGAACTGAAGTGGACAGCGGATAGAGATGCATAAAATGCAAACCCCCTTGTTGTTCAGGTTTCATTTTTCTGCCTGAAAGAACCACAATCTCATCCCTGTGTGGCTCTTCAAGGCGAGACGACCCCTCATCTGGATCCAATGTCCATGAACTCTCCACGTCTCTCTGTTCTCCTTTCTTCTCTGAAGGGAATATCGTTTATTGGACTGCTTTATACTTCAAGTACATGGAAATACTTTGGGACATGTGACATCCACTTCTCTCCCACCGGGCTGCCAAGAAAGATGTTCCTGGATTTCAAAAAAGAAACACTACCATGTCTAGAATATTCATGAAAAGCCTTCATATGGCATATTTTTGCTCCGTTATTCCGTAACAAGAATTGTTATACTAGACATTTCTAGTATGACAAAAAAGTGCCTTGTGTACTCGTACAACTCGATCTTTCTTAACAACCAATCTCCATCAGTAGTATTATTTCTAAGGGGCTGTTAACACGACACCATTTTCAACTAAAAATAGAAAACTTTTAATGCATTTTGGTGACCTGAAAATGCTACATTTTGAAAACGGGTTTCAAAGTGAAAGTTTTTGAAAGCTATACTGCTATCATCTCCATGTAAACTGCAAATTTGTGAAAACAGTGACCTCATGCGTATTATGTGTTCAGTCTATAGGTATGTACGCAGATGCACAGTATTTCTTTACAGTGGCATCGCCAACTACTGGCCTGGCATGCATAATACAGCATTTTTAGTCGTTTTTCGCAGATCTGTGTGAATGAGATCGTTTTGACATTTTCAGCAACGCAAAGGAAAAATGTCTCCATTTTTAGTACATTGATGTTATGTATTTTCTGTAAATCCCACCTTCTTGTATTTGATGACTGGTCGATTATATAAATTGGTCAGACTATACTTTTCAGTTCTTACCTTCAGCAAGTATGAAAACAATAAAACAAAGCCAAAACCAGGACATTTTAGGGAGTTTAGAAATCCTGGCCAGGACATGTTCGGAAAAAAGAGTCACCCTCTCCATCACATGCTCAAATCCAAAGGGATAATTTATGAGAGAACCTAAACGACAGTCTCATGAGAGCCGTTCTCAGCAGCGTCTGCATGTAATGCAGTATGTTTACGATACCGCTAATCAGCATGTGGGCACCACCTGAGCTTATAAGAACAATGGCAAAGCATCTACACACATGTTGTGTTCCCATATGCGAGTAACATTAACCCAGTGCACTTACAAAACAGAATTAACTTGGATCTAACTGGATTCCATCAAATGTATATGCATACACTTCCTGTTTGGCTCCTGTTGCTCATCAGCTAAACTCCTTACGGGTAGTGTAACGATGTAAATTATCTTTACTTGAAATCATCTGCTTTTTGTCATTAATAATCCTCGCCATATGACGTAAGTTAACACAAACTGTGTGTCAAACCAGTTTACAGGATAAGAACAATCATGTTGTGAGGGAGTAAAGGGGATTGTTTAAAAGATGGCTATTGCTGGTGAATAGAGTGAAATCACTAGCGTATGTTTCACAGTTTCTGGCCGAAAGCATTTTGAGATTGCGTTGTACACCATAAAGGCTGTGGATTTGGGGCGAGTTCACACACGCACCTGTCGCTCTGTTCCAGATGCTACAGACGCTTGGCAGATGCTAATGGACGCGCTCCAGTTTAGGAAATCCGATCCACTCACACATAGTGAGGTGTTCTACTATTGAGCCCAATGAGGCCAAACAAAGTGCCAATGTAGCCTCAGGTGTCTTTTTTTTGAGTGTGTCTAAATCCTTTACTGTATAGGAGTTAACCTCAGTTATATATGTAAGGGATAATGTACATCCAGCCAGTTGTTATTGCAGAATAACCCCCAACAGGGTGATCAGGACCCCGACGCGAAGCAGAGTTTTGAGAATTGAGTTTTAATATTTTATTAGCTAAATAAATGCAAAGCTTCCACCAAGAAAAAACTGTTCCTGGCAAGAGTATAGCGCCGACTTCAGTTACTCGGATGAGCCTGTGTTATTAGTTTTTACCGGTTGTTATCGAGGGATAACATACCTCGGAATGTTGCGACTGACCAACCAGAATCAAGATTTCCTCAGAGCCGTGTAATAAATAATTTGAATGTGCATATATTTACATTTATATCATTTAAAACTATATAAAAAATAAATTTAATTTGTTTATGAAAATGATCACATTCCCATCATTGCAATAAATAAATAAATAAATAAATAAATAATCTCAGATATGCAATTTATGCAATTTCCAGGTCACATTTAAACATTTTACTTTTTATATATGTTTTTTTAAATATATAAAAATACATTTAATTCTTTATGAAAAATATAGCATTTCCATTATTGCAATAAATAAATTAATAAAATGTAATTTAAATGTATGTTTATGAAACGGTCATTAAATAGATTTTAATAACAATAATAATAATAATAATGAATTAATGAATTAATTAATAATGTATTTGAACAGCATGAATTTCATTACTATATTAGCTATTTTACTATAAAGGATTGAATACATACATTTAATTTATTTATGCAAATATAGCATTCCCATTATTGCAATAAATAAAGTTAATTTATGATTTTAGTGTATTTAAATTAACAGTTAATTGATTTAATTGTGTCTGAACATGACTTTTATTACTTTACTACAGTAATGAGCATGATATTGTATTCCTATATTTATTTTTGCATAAAAATGTATACATATGTTTACATATACAGTATATACATAATAAACAATTTAAAAAAACACTTATTTTGATTTTAGAGTGAAATATAACTTTTCTTATATGACTTATGTGAATATGACTTTTCTTTGTCTCAAGAATGAGTATGTGTAGCATGTACACACACACACACACACACACACACACCTGTCTATAATTAACCACAGACTTTTCCCGGCAGACGTACAAATCTGGGAAAACCATGAGTGTATAAAAATATATATTCTATGACCCTGCTAACAAAAATATGTTTTAAGAACGTTTTGCTAAAACATTTTGTGTTTTTATTTATTTAATTTTTGTTAGTTATGTGAACATTCTCTGTTAGCTGGGGAGCTGCACAGATATTTAGTGAGACAGAAATGAAAAACAAACAGAGACGAACAGCAAGTCAACTGGAGGTGATAGAATCAATTAGAAAAAGAGCTCCATAAAATGGAGATTAAAACCCAAGAAGAAACTAGATCATTAAAAAGACATTTACCGGGTAACCGTCTCGCCCAGGTTTGCCCTGTGCAAAGAAAAATTAGATATAATGAATAAATATAGACCTACAGTAGATCAAAAAAAAAAAAGATTACAAATCCCAAGGTAACATCATGACAGTTTTCATAATCTCAAGAGAATCTGTTCAGCTTCATAAAAAAGCCAAATATTTTCAAATCCAGTGTGATAAAAAGTAAACTACTGTAAATTATTCTTATTAACCAATCTGAACTTGAAGAACGTACTTGCACATCCCAAAACTTTAATAGAGAAACACAACCTGTCAGTCTTTCCACAAAGTAAATCTCTGTTTTATGTGTTTATTAGTTGGAATAACAGCACTTTGCAGGATTATAAATGAAAATGTCAAGTGTTTTAGTGTTTCTTAACATTGCAATAGACTTCTGAGTAAATAAACCGGTGGACCTCTGCTCTACAGAAGACCACAAACTAAACTGCTCTACAGAAGACACAAACAACCAGTTTAGGTTGGTTAGCAAACCAACCTAAACTGTTGAAAGCTGTCACATAATTTGACATCTACGAGCATTAAACAGATCAATGAAATCTTCATGACAGCCTGCTAAAATATGGATTAGAAGTCACATATCTATTTGCAACAAGGTGTTGACAGCTTGGTTTTAACCTAAATCTAAAGCAGGTGACAGTTTGCAACCTGTTCTTATGCTGTGTTACACTTTTGTTGGAAACCAGAACTTTAATGTTGGTTTGAATATGGTAAAACTTTAATATCAGAAGCACCAGGGCCCAATTTCACCAACAGGGCTTAGCTTAAGCCAGGACTAGACCTTAGTTAAATTAATATATTTAAGCAACTTTTACAAAAATGCCTTAGAAGAAAACATTACAGGTGTGTATCTTGACACAGAACAATGACACTGACATATTTTAAGATATGTCAGAGCAAGATATTTTCAGTTGAGACAGCTCAAACATACATTTTAGTCTGGGACTAGCTTAAGCCTGGTCTGTGAAACCGGGGGCTAATCTTTTAGCCTTTAGCTTGCAGCTGCTCTTAAATTAATATTCCAGAACTTTCTTCTTTAAGCTTTATTCTGGAATCTCAAAAGAATGTTAATTCTAGCATGCCAATTTTTCAGAGGCTTAAATTTGAAGGTTCTAGAAATATAATGTCAGATAAACTGGTGCACATATTCTCAAATGTAAAAATTTCAGGATGTATGAAAGATTCCAGAACTTGAAGGCCGTTTCTCGGGTTTTATGTCTCACCTTTTAAACGTTTTATCAGCCTTACCACAATACAGAGCCCATATCTGCTACATGTCATTATTTTGAAGTGTGAGGACAGGGTACTTACTGGGGGTCCTGAAAAATAAAAGAACAACAAAGAGACATTTAAAACAATCCAAATGTCTTTTAACTTTCAGTTTAACTTCAATAATAACACAAAATTACACGTCCACGTTTTTAACAAAAAGCTAAACCTCTAAACCTTTTTTTTCCTGAAATGTTCATCAGGAAAGCGTTATGACCCTCAGAGAAGAAAAAGATGTGTTGAGGTTTCACGAGGCAGAAAGTTGTTGGCATTTACTCACGTCTAGATGCTGGCAAACTCTTAAAGGGGTGGTTGATTGCGATTTCACTTTTTTAATGTTAGTTAGTGTGCAATGTTGCTATCTGATCATAAACAATATCTACAAAGTTATACATGGACACGCGTGCGGTTGCCAAACTGTATTAAAGCTTTAATCAGAATAAAACTGTATATTAAAAGCTAAAAGAAGCAGTAGCATTTACAAATAACAGCGTATCTAATAGTATGAGACAACAACAAACTTCTTAGGTCTACCATTAAAAGCCGTGCTTGCACAGGTTCTGCGTGATCCTCTTCACTAATATCCTCTGCATCTCAATCAGGCTCAAATTGATAAGCAATATAGACGACGTCATTGTTTACAATACAACCAGAGCACATGCCGCTATGTTGAGGGGCGGGACGTTTAGACGCACGCTAGAAGCGGTTTAGCCAATCACAACACACCAGGCTAGCTAATCAATCAGAGCCCATCGTGTATTTCTGAGGGAGGGGCTTCATAAAAGCAGGAAATGATCAGCGCGTTCACAGGAGAAGGGACAGAGAGGTGTGGAATAAAGGTAAATTATGTGAAAATGATATTTCTAGCTAATCAATCAGAGCCCATCGTGTATTTCTGAGGGAGGGGCTTCATAAAAGCAGGAAATGATCAGCGCGTTCACAGGAGAAGGGACAGAGAGGTTTAAAATATAACATTCACTCAGCACTGTCAAGTTCTGACCATTGTGAACGAAATGGCCTCACCATTTGGAAACCATTTAAGAGTAAGATGTTGAAAGAGAAAAATAATGAGTATGTGTTTTACAGTTTAATTGAGCACATCAAAGTTGTTTAGTAAAAAGATTCATCATTTAATTGACGAGGGTTCTAATTAAACGAGCGCTTTTAACTTTTGAATTATCATGGACGCATACAACCTGCCTAATGTTTGCGTTGATTAGTCTGCTAAATATCTTCCAGCTTTCCAACCATATTTTCTCCCTCACACTAGAGCAGCGCGTTCACAGGAGAAGGGACAGAGAGGTGTGGAATAAAGGTAAATTATGTGAAAATGATATTTAATAATGCATTTTTTAACAAACGAAGCATTAACACATGTTAGACTGCACCCCATAAACACAATCAAGCCTATAAAAAAAAAAAATTATATATAAGTCAACCACCCCTTTAAGAGTTTAAAATATAACATTCACTCAGCACAGTCAAGTTCTGACCATTGTGAACGAAATGGCCTCACCATTTGGAAACCATTTAAGAGTAAGATGTTGAAAGAGAAAAATAATGAGTATGTGTTTTACAGTTTAATTGAGCACATCAAAGTTGTTTAGTAAAAAGATTCATCATTTAATTGACAAGGGTTCTAATTAAACGAGCGCTTTTAACTTTTGAATTATCATGGACGCATACAACCTGCCTAATGTTTGCGTTGATTAGTCTGCTAAATATCTTCCAGCTTTCCAACCATATTTTCTCCCTCACACTAGAGAAATAAACAGACTGTTGTGCAATGGTGTTGGATCAACATTCGACTCTTCCTGCTCGCTTCACAACATGTCTCACTTTCAACATTTGATATGTTATCTATATTCTATTGTGAATAAAATATAAGTTTATGAGATTTGTAAATTATTCCATTCCTTTTTTACTCACAATTTGTACAGAGTCCCAACTTTTTTGGAATTGGGTTTGTACAACAAGCAGGCACAGCTAAACAGAACCACATCCAGCAGACTTAGTGACAAAATGACCCACTATCTCTATGTAAATAAAGTGTTCTGCCAACGTTTGAAGTTCCTCTCCCAGGGCAGCAGGGCTGGAACAAGTTTGAAAAACAGATGTAAAGAATTGTCATTCTGTCCAAATGCCAGTTGTATGGGAACGCCACAATCTCAGATTTAATCGGATATGGTCAGAAGGTGAATATAGGTTCTGCTGTATAAACTGTACACATTATCCAAAGATAACAGATGTTTTTAGGCAAACATTATCTGGACACCTTCTTAAAATTCACAAGCTATACTGATGGATTCTCCGCAAGTGACATGACAATGAATCATTCATTAAAACCTCTCTCAATCTGTGCCTTTGAGAGCCATGTGTGTGACTACAGCACAGCTCACTTAGAAATACATCACCATCTTAATTTGTATGGCCGAGTCATCATCAGTCTGAGTTTAATACCTCTGAATCATCTGAGGGTCTACGGTGAATCAAAACCACATTCAATGAGGACTTCCTCCCAGTCACATCTAATGTTTATGAATTAGGCACACTAGTAACAATGTTTACAGAAAAGTGCTAGACATCAGGCATGAGGAACATAAATGAAGAGATTGCACTCACCAGGGTCTCCTCTTCTGCCCATCCGTCCACGTTTCCCAGGAGGACCTGAAGTCAGGAGAGATGTGTAATGACTTGAAAAATGTCTTACATAAAACATTTTTTTTTTCATTACTTAGGTTTCTACACATACGGATTCATTCTAATTATTTTCAGATCATACCTTTGTAGAATCCTGTGAAAATGCTAAGCTGAAGTTATAATGAACTTTGAAATTTCACAAAGAAATGTCTGGGTTACATTTGACAGCAATGGGGGGTAAATTAGCTTAATTGTTATGAAAATAATTGGTACAGTACAAATAATATTATTATTTTTCAACTTAAAATGGATCTGGATTAGGTGCAAATCCATTGTTCACAGACAAATGCAGATGAATTGTGTATATCTGTGCACCTCGCATCACTTCCTGTTCGTGTATATGAAAGTCAGAACAAAGCAGCCGAGGGCATACCTCCACCTCCCAGACGGTAGCCAGGCCCCCCTACTCTCTGTTCCTCTGGTTAACCGATTAACCCCCTCCTTCTCTCTGTCCCCTGGGCACTAAATCACTTCCATCAACCTCTTTCTCTCTTCTTTAGGTACTGTGAAATAGAAACCATACCTGAGCGAAGCAGGAGAGGGGGATGCTGGGATGCTAACGAGCTCAGGTCGCAGACACACTTTTCTTGTTGGCATTATTGTTATTGTTCTAGGTTAATCAACCCCTGCTGATTCAACCCCTATTAGAAAGATTGTCAAGAAAGGGTCTCATGGTTTCACTTCCCCGGTGTGGTTCACTTTACTAAATCTAAAGCATTCGGCATCCTTATAGGAATGTTCAAGGTTCAGTTCAACTTAATTAATTAATTCATTCATTCACTTTATTTATAGAGCACTTTACAACTGCACCTGCAGACCAAAGTGCTGTACAATCAAGAAACACTTCATTAAAACTGTTTTTGAGAAACAGAACTTAAAACAACACACATCCTACTAACAACAAAGACTAACCCACCCTCTCAAAGGTTAAAGACAAGAAATAGTTTTTAACTTCAACTTTAAAAGCATTTAAAGATGAGACCTCTCTAAGTTCCTGAGGAAGACTATTCCAGAGTTTCGGCCCCGCAACAGCAAAGGCCTGATCCCCTTTTAACTTTAAATGAGTACGAGGGACAGTAAGCAATAACTTATTATTGGATCTTAGAGACCTAGGTGCTTGACGAACAGCAACGAGCTCAGACACATAAGCAGGGGCCATCCCATGCACTGCTTTAAAAACATACAAAAGAGTTTTATATTTTATCCTGTAGTTCACTGGTAGCCACTTGAGAGAAGCTAAAATAGGAGAGATATGATGACATATGATGATATGATGACCACTAGCAACCTAGCTGCTGCATTCTGAACTGCAAAAAGCAAATTAGAACCATTGTTCTCTCCCACTCTCATAGGTTAGTAGATCTGTATATCATCCGCATACAAATGGTACGACATGCCGTATTAAAAAAAAATTGAACCCAGGGGCAACGTATACAATGAAAATAAAATAGGGCCAATAACAGAACCCTGGGGAACCCCACAAGTAACAGGCGCTGCCGTTGAAACAAAGTTACCATACTTTACAGAGGATGATTATCGAATTAATACGAATTCCAATTAAATGGGATAACCGCTTTATAAGAATCACGTGGTCTATTGTGTCAAAAGCTGCACTTAAGTCCAATAAGATCAGAGCTGCCGCGTTACCTGCATCTTTGATTATACGGAGGTCATTAACAACTCTTAAAAGTGCAGACTCAGTGCTGTGACCTGCCCTAAAACCGGACTGAAATTTGTCTAAGATCTCATACCTACTTAAAAATGACATTAACTGGGAATAAACCACCTTCTCTAAAATCTTAGGCATGATAGGCATGGTAGTTTTGAGATGGGCCGATAATTCTTCAGTTCTAAAGGGTCTAAATTAGGCTTTTTAAGAAGTGGCTGAATAACCGCCTGCTTAAGGCCTGTTGGAACAACTCCATTATGAAGACTACTGTTAACAATAGAAGTAATACTCAGCCCAATGACATCAACCATCTCCTTAAGAAGACGTAAAGGAACCACATCGCAACCACCAGATGTAGGCTTCAAACGCATAATGATGTCCATAACTTGCACCAGAGACACCTGCTCAAAGAGTTCAAAACTCCTTACACAAGCTGGTGATATCACAAACTCAACTGAAGACGTAGGCAAATTAGTTCTAATCTTTTCTACTTTTTCCACAAAAAATGTCCTAAACATTTCACAAACCTCCAATGAGGGGGTCAAGGTAGAACATACATTCGGATTGAGAAGTCTATTAATTGTTGAAAAAAGGGTTGCAGGGGCATTATAATTCTGTGCAATGACACTCGAGAAATAATTTTGCCTTGCAGTTCTCACAGCAGCCTGGTAGTCTGAAAAACACTGCCTCATAGATTGAAGTGAAACCTGTAGCTTATCCTTTCTCTATTTCCGTTCAGCCTTCCTGCATTCCTGCCTCAGAGAACAAGTATAGTTGTTAAGCCATGGAGTTGGATTAAGTTTAGGTTTCCTAACTTTATATGGAGCCACTACATCTAAGATATTGGAGCAAACAGAATTGAACAATATCAACAGCTCATCTGGGCCCACAGAAGGAGAAGGAGACTCAATCACATTCACCAATGAAGAGGAGTTATATACCTCAGAAAATTCTACCGCCGTGGATGAAGTAATAAGACGAGAACAAAACACACCTGACTGTGGCAAAACTGGTTTGCATGGCATAATAACATTAAAAATTGCAGGCATGTAATCAGACAGACCATAATTTAAAACATCTACATTACAAATAGGAAGGCCCAGAGATAAGACCAAGTCCAAAATATGGCCTTGCTCATGGGTTGAATTTGAAATAAACTGCGTGAAATTAAAAGAGTCCACCAGCTGTAAAAACTCAGAGACCATAGGCTTATTAGGAAAACACACATGAATATTGAAGTCCCCAAGAATTAAAATGTTATCACAACTTGGCACAATATGTGATAAAAACTCAGAAAACTGCTGAATGAAATCCTTGTTATATTTCGGTGGTCTATAGACCAACACACACAGAACAGGTTTCCAGCCGTCATACATCATCACTTGAGCCTCAAAGCTCTGATAGTTCAACTTTGACAAATTTAAATCCCTTTTTAAAAACACATGCAAGTCCGCCACCCCGGCCAGTAGTTCTAGGGGTGCTAAAAAATGAACAGTCAGATGGAGAAAGTTCAATCAGGGCGTGTGTGCCGCCAACATTAAGCCATGTTTCAGAAATAAACAGAAAGTCCAAATCATGTTGTGTAAAAAAGTCATTTAAAATAAACGTTTTGTCTAAGAGTGATCTTGCGTTAACCAATGCCATATTTACTGTACCAGACTCCAGCGTAGACAATGACGCTCCAACCGAAACCACAGCCGACTCGATATAACACAAATTGTTAATATTTACTCCTCTCGAAACTTTGTGTCGCTGAGTCACAGCCCGCGACGATGGTATCCGGGCAAACTGGACGCAAACAGGAGAAGCTCTCACTCAAAAAGTCTCCCGAGGTCAACAGGCGTCTCTCCGACATCCATGATGCTCTAGCTTTCACAGCGAAACCCGCCCGTCTGCCACGCTTCCGACGGCGATTGCTCCGAAACCGCCGAGTTCGCCGGTACCCACACTCTAGGCCGAGCCAAGGTTCCACTGATATAGACGGCATGAATCGCAGGTGAAAACAACACTTTCCACTCCGAGTGAGATCGTCCATCACTGCACGAATGTGAAGCAAAGTTTTGCAGTCATAAGTCCAGAGAGAGTAGTTAGGGCTAATAAGACATACAAATAAAACGAAATGCATTAAAATAGACAACACGGAACAATGGCCAGCCAATACACACGGCGCTATCTTTTTATTGTTGTTCTAAACGTTAATGGAACAGTTCATCCAAAAATGAAAATTTGCTTGTGGATTATTGATGTTTTTAGCAGCTGTTTAGACTCTCATTCTGACGGCACCCATTCACTGCAGAGGATCCATTGGCGATCAAGTGATGTAATGCTAAATTTCTCCAAATCTGTTCTGATGAAGAAACAAACTCATCTACATCTTGCATGGCCTGAGGGTGAGTACATTTTCAGCCAATTCAAATTCAAAATTCATTTTTGGGGGAACTATTGCTTTAAACTCTGGGACATGTTGTCGATTAACACAGCAAATACATTCTACATGTCTGTCAGTTTGAAAACTGAGTTTATAGTCATAATACAAATTTAAATCTATTCAGCAAACTATACACTAACCAGGTGTTTTCCTATTTTTCTATCTATAATGAATGCAAAATCTTGCTGAAACTTTTTTCCAAAACGTTAAAATATCATATCAACCTCAAACTTTTAAACAATAGTGTATGTTTTAACTTCTACGTCTTAACTTCTGTTTGTTCCAGTATCCTGATGAACACAGCAACACAACCTGTTTGAAAACAAGCAGTCTTACAAGTCCATTTATTGCCGCTGAAATTACACACTTCGCCTAAGTGTTGTAACAAAAAATGTGCTTCGCATTACTGCTTCAAATTCCCTCCAGGACGAAGTGCACTGTTGACTTCAGCTGTAAATACATAAGCATACACACAATTATTGTTTGTTTTTACAAACTGAGGAACTTGCTGAAGTTATTATCCAATGTAAATGACAGGATCTTATTGATGCTTAAATTAGAAACTGAGCTCAAACTTGTATAAAACCTGTAACATTCCTTTCCAGAGGTTACAGGTCACTGTAACAAGTGTACTGGAAGTTGCTTTCTACAAACCTTTCAGTCTTTGTCTATAAATTGTAGCTTCTAACATTCTCCTTCTATTGCTCTCTCTTTCGCTCATGTGGTCTGTTCTATATCATATACGGCTTTCTGCTCAACCTCCCCTATTGTAATGACGTTCCAGGGTTTGTGTATGATAACACAAATCATAGTCAACATAGTGAAAATAGTGAGTCGTGGCTTCATCTTTGAGCTCTTGTGGCTTACTGC